GACCACTGGCCAAAGAACTGTCCCATGCCTTGCCCACCACCAGGCCTGCCCAAACTGTGGACACTGTCGGGTTAGCTGTTTGCTCTGCCTTGCCAAGATAGGTCAGTTTTCCCAAGTTCCTTCCTACAGGAAAATTTCTCAGACTTTCTGGGTCTGGTGGCCAGGGGCTGGTGCTGTCCTACAGTGGCAGCAGCTGTGTGACAGCCAAAAAATGACAACAAAGCCATCGAGGTCATCATGGAAGCTCCCAGGTCAGTTTTCCAGGTAATGAGTGAGTCTCTGTCACTCTGAATGATGCAGAGGCCATTTGGATTATACTTCCCGCTCAAATGTATGGGTCTCAGATGTTTGTGGTGGTGTTGATAGGGAGCTGTGACTCGATCGGTTTAGCAGCAGCAAACAGACCTTAGCAAGGTCCTCCCTCTAACGCTGCAGCTACATGGTCAGTCCATATCATATACAAAAACCAGGCCTTGTTTTCTTCCAGAGCTAGCAGGTGTCCTGCTGAGAAAGGCAGACTCAGACAGACCTGGCTGATGCGGCTTCACGGGGGAAAAAGAGAAGCTCGCAAGACAAGCTTTAACAGAAAACCAAATTCAAGCTGTCACGCTGTCCTATTAACTAAAAACTTACCTTTTAATATTATTTTTTTTCTTTTTTTGGTTTTTCAAGACAGGGTTTCTCTGTGTAGTTTTTTTGGAGCCTGTCTTGGGACTCACTCTGTAAACCAGGCTGGCCTTGAACTCATAGAGATCCACCTGTCTCTGCCCCCGAGTGCTGGGATTAAAGGCGTGCACCACCACCACCCAACTAGAGGATTTAAATTTATGTAAATTGTGAGGCTCTAAGTATGTGAAAACTGAGACTTAAAGATGATAAATGATGTTAAGGTTTCAGAGTTTTAACGTTAATCAATGGAGTTCCGATAAGCCAGTATTTTGACTGTGGTAAAACACTGGTGACTGCTATCATAGTAACAGGCTCATAAATTTAAATTTTCTTTGGTTGTTTTCTAAATATAGACTTAAGAGTACTTCTCACTGTGCTGAAAACACCTCTGTCCAATCCATACATACCCAGACATGCTTACACCTCTGCCCTATCAATACATATCAAGACATGCTTACACCTCTGTCCAACCCATACATATTCAACCATGCCTACACCTCCGCCCATACATATCCAGACATGCTTACACCTCTGTCCGATCCATACATATCCAGACATGCTTCTATCATGTAGACAACTTCTCAGGCTTTCTTTTCACTGTGGCCCCAAGGCACGCATCTCCAGCTGTTTACAGATGCTTGTTAACGGCTTTTCTTCAGGGAGGATTTCAGTGCCGATTATAGACAGTGGTCATGCTAATATACCTAAAACTTTAACTCTTTTGCCAATTTTAAAAAAATTATGTAAGTTTCAGGGAGTCCTGACTTGTCTTCAATGTCACAGTCAACTGTCAACAGCCTAAGCTTTTCCACCCACTGCCTACTCTAGAGGGTGGGCTCATTCCTTCTCCTGGCCTTGGTTCTCCTTTCCCAAAGAGTCCCAAAAGCGCTCCCAAAGACCGGGCTGCAGGTCTGAAAGTTTCAAGCATGCACTCAGGATAAAGATTTCCCCAGCTCTTAGACTTTATTCTCTGTCCTAGTTAATGTCCGCCCCAGCAGTTTTCTCTTCAGCTGAGAGCCGCAGGCCATCCAGGAATTAATTAACTGTGACCTGCACACTGCTCCAGACAGCTTGCAACGCGCCAACCGCAGGTGGTCCTGCAGAACCAGGCAGCCCCGGACTTGTTATAAACTGCTCCAGCCAATGGGACTGCTTTTGACAAAGGCCCTCTACCATTGTCCAAATTTCCTTCTCCTGGCCTTTGGCTGGCATTCCAGCCTTCCTAGGCTCCAAAGACTTCAGCGTTCAAAATTTTAATACTTTCTATTGTCTGGGTTTATCGCTCTTTCTTCACTTGTCAGCCAGAAGGGAATGGGACATTCCTATAGATGTCCTTAGCTATTCTGAATCAGTGCTTCTCTGAATGCTCCAATGCTGGTGTTTCAGTTGGTATCTATGCTTAGTTCTCTGAGCTAGAGTAGAATTTCTAGCAATCAGTTAATTTTTTGGTAGTGTTAAAAATAACAACACAAAGGGCTGAGGCTATACCTCAGTGGTAGAGTGTCTGCCTATGATACAGAAGGCACTGGGTTTAATTCCCATCGTTGCCAGGAGACAACCATAGTAAAATTCAGCAACAGCGTCGCGTTTGGTGGCACACAGCTGTCATGGCAGCGCTCAGGAGCAGGCCAGGGCAGGAGAGAGAATTCAGTAGGTAAAAGACTCATCACCAAGCTTGGTGACATGAGTTCAAACTGGTACGCACACAGTAAAAGAACCAGATCCCACAGTTGCCCTCTGATCTCTACTCCTGTGTCATGGTGTACATGTGCTACCGTCAAACACACACACACACACACACACACACACACACACACACACACACTCACACACACTCAAACCAAATCAAATTTCCAAGGCTAGCCTGAGTGTAACAATAAGACACTCATAAGAAGGTGAAGGAATGAAGATGTTGGTGGCGGTAGAGATATCACCTTACATGGGCAAGGCCTTGGGTTTGGTCCTGCATACCACAAAATGCACAGACAATAAAGAAAAGAAAGCATCGACAACAGCACAGGCTTAGAGGCAGAACTGTGAAAAACAGTCGAAAGAGCCCATGGTTTAGGCAGACCAGATCAAAGACTGCAGAACGTCTCCACATAGTCAGTAAGGAGTTATTGAAAATGTGACTTCTCCTATAGCACTTTCTTTATAAGAATTGAAAGTGACTAAAGCCAGCAGGCAGCAGCATTTTCTCACTGTTTGCTCTGGATCCCCGCAGCTGGCAGCAGCATTCCCTCACTGTTTTCCTTCAGCCCTGCTCTGCATCCCCGCCTGGACTCCTGCCTGACTTCTCTTACAGATGGACTATGAACTGTAAGCTGAAATAAACCCCTTTCTCCCCAAGCTGTCGTTGGTCAGTGTTTTAGCACAGCAATAGGAAGCATATAAGAACTCTGTGCCCTGTTTGGAGGGCAGCGCTCCAACCACTCTACCCCTTCCTTCCTGGGCTCTTCCACTGTTTCGGGCTTCTCCCCCGCTATGCTCCCTGAACCTTGCAGAATGATACAGGTGTATTAGGTGGGGCTCAGCTTTCAATAGTCAGTTACTCTCAGTACCTCGACAACTACGAGCCTCTGCAGTAATCACTGTCCCCTTCACCACGGTTTCTTCATGGAATATTTATGGCTCGTATTTCTTAGGATTTTTTTTCAAAGACTGTTGAGTGGGTCTCAGACAACCCAGCAGGTGTTTGGGTCTGATTGCTACATTGTAGAAGGAACTGTCAAGCTAACGGAAATCATCTCCTAAGATTTTTTTTTTTTTTTTGAGACATGGTTTCAGGCTGGACTCAGACACATTACAAGGCTGAGGATGAGCTAGGACTTCTGATTTCCTGACTCCAGCTTCTGAATGTTGGCTGTTACAGACACGTACCACCAGGCCCAGTTTTATGTGGTGCTGAAAACTGAACCCAGGACTTTGCATGTACCAGAAACATATTCTATCAACTGAGCTATACACCATCCCCCAGGTCTATCTACAGTTCTAGAAAATTTAATTTAAGGAACTATTTAACTAGGCATATGGGATAGTCAAGAACACAGAATTTTGCCATTTATGTAAATAAAAAGTTCAGTTTTTTTTTTTTTAGTAACAATTTAGGTTGGAGAGGAAGGACTGTGAGTGGAGACAGGAGGGGAAGAGAGTGGGGAGGAGGGCAGATTGGGTGTAGTAGGAATTCTAATTGATCTTAATAAATAAAACCCAGAGTCAGATATTAGGGGGTGAAAGCTGAAGGACCAGAGAAGCAGAACCACCAGCCACCAGAGAGATCTTTTATCTCTACTGATGCTCAAACTAAAAGGGGTGCTCCCTGTCCTCAGACTGCAACTGTCTCCACCAAACTTCAGACTGCTGGGGCTATCCTCAGACTGCCCTGAACCCTTATCTCCTCCTGCCGTATATTCCTTTCTCTGCCCAGCCATATCACTCCTGTCTCCATTTCCCTGGGCTGGGATTAAAGGCGAGGGATTCCAAGTGCTGAGATCGCCTCTGTGTGAATTCTGTTTCTCTTTTAGACAGATTCAGTCTTGTGTAGCCCAGGGTGACCTTGAACTAAGAGAGATTCCTCTGCCTCCATCTCCGGACTCCTGGGATTAAAGGAGTGTTCCATCGCTGCCTGGCGGCCTCTTAGTGGTTTAGCTCTGCACTCTGATCTTCAGGCAAGCTTTATTTGTTAGAGTAGGAACAAGATATCACCACAATTGGGGATGCTGTAGATTGGAGGCTTCTATCTAGGGGAGTCTTTGCAACTTCTGTTCCCAGTGCTTGGGAATAATCTAACAAAATCAACTATCCTGACTTTTCTGTGCTAAAATAAATCAAGGAAAACCATCAAAGCCCTGAACAATGACAGAAACGGAAACAGAATACCCTGCTCCAATAACAAAATCCTTCAAAGTACCAAAGGAGGGCTGGAGAGATGGCTCAGCAGTTAAGAGCACTGGCTGCTCTTCCAGAGGTCCTGAGTTCAATTCCCAGCAACCACGTGGTGGCTCACAACCATCTGTAATGAGATCTGGTGCCCTCTTCTGGTCTGCAGGCAGGATACCGTATGAATAAATAAATAAATAAATAAATCTTTTTTTAAAAAAAAAAGTACCAAAGAAAAAACCTAGGGTCGTCTCCTACCCACCAGAGGCCAGACAAGCACCCTGAACCCTAGGCTACTCCAGCCAAAAGACCAGAGAGGAAACAGAAACCAAAGAAGAAAAGACCCATCTAACAAAGACAAACCCCAAAATTGACACCTGATAATCACCGAAACCCAGATGCCTCAACACTGGTGTCAGAAGGGAATCAACCACAGCCAGGGCGATACTCACCACAGAGCCCAGCCGGCCTACAGCACCAAGACCTGGGTACCCAACACAGTTGAGTCACAGGAAAATGACCTTAAAAGCAACTTTATGAAGGTAATAGAGGTCCTTAAAGAGGACATGAATAATCTCTTAAAGAATGTCAAGAAAACCAAGAAAAAACAAACAAACAAACATAACAGTTGAAGGAAATGAATAAAACTGTTCAAGACCTGAAACTGGAGATAGAAACAATTAAAAAAAAAAAGACAAACTGAGGGAATTCTGGACATGAAAAATCTAGGTAAGCGAAGAGAAACCACAGACACAGGCATCACCAACAGTAGACAGGAGATGGAGGGCAGAATCTCAGGTGTTGAGGATGCAATAGAAGAAATAGATACACATGCCAAAGAAAATGCTAAATCTAAAAAATTCTAACAAAAAGCATCCAGGAAATCTGGGATACTACGAAAAGACCAAAACTAAGAATAATAGGAATAGAAGAAGGAGAAGAAACACCCCCACAACTCAAAGGCCCAGAAAATATTTTTAATAAACTCAGAGAAGAAAATTTTCCTAACCTAAAAAAGGATAGACATGCATATAAAGGTACAACAAGCTTACAGAACACCAAATAGACTGGACCAGAAAAGAAAGTCTCTTCATCACGTAATAATCAAAACGCTAAACATGGAGGACAAAGAAAGATTATCAAAAACTGCAAAGGAAAAAGGCTAAGTAACATATAAAGGCAGACTCATTACAAATACACATGATTCCCACTGGAGATTCTAAAGCCAGAAAAGCCTGAAGAGATGTGTTGCAGACTACGAGACCATGGGTGCCAGCCTAGACTACTGTATCCAGCAAAACTTTCAATCACCATAGATGGAGAAAACAAGATATTCCATGATAAATTTGAATTTAAACAATATCTATCCACAAATCCAGTTCTACTGGGAGCACTAGAAAAAACTCCAACCCAAGTAGACAGGGGTCAGATTTGGAGACAGCCTATAGGACTGGACAGTGACTGAACCACACATACTGGGTTACCAGGATCAGGGAGATGGTCAGGAGTGCTAGCTACACATGCCTGAGGACCCAAGTTCAAATCCCAGAACCCAATAGAAAAACCTCAGTATAGCCGTGAACAACTACAATCTCATCGCTGTGGACCAGACACAGAAGCACACTGGGGCTCGCTGTCCTAGCTCCCTTCAACTAGTGAACGAGGTGGTACTTGATAGAGCAGGACACTTGATATTGTTCTTTTTGGTGTTCATGTGTCCATGGGTGCATGCTATCTCTCTCTCACACACACACTACACACACACACACACACACACACACACACACACGCACACTAATCCCCCATAAGTATATAAACAGCCTCCTAACTCCTAGAACGCTGAGCCTAGCTGGCTGAGTCCCAGCTCCACTCTTAGGACAAATAGTGAGGCCTTGGCCCAGAACTCTCAGCTTCCATACTTTTCATCCTTTTTTCTCACTTAGGAACAAGTAGAGAAACCCTAAAACACTCTCCTAGCTAATCACACAGGACCTTGGATTTTTTGCCCCCACTTCCCCACACTGAGCAGCCTTGAGTTTGTCCCTGACACCTTCCCCTTCATCGCCACCGCTTAGTTTTCCTATTCTTCTGCCTGCCTTTGAGTGGCTGCCGAATGCGTGAGGCAGGCTTCCTTGCCCTAGCCAGAACTGAACGGCCTTTTCTTAGTCTGTTTGGGTGGTTTTCATGTATTTCCTCATTTGTTTGGTGCATAATTCTAATCGGTCAGAGAGCATGTATCTAACGGGCAAGATGCAGGAGAGTTAAATTTTCTCTCTGTAGATTTGGCGAAGCCAGGAAGAATGGGAGCGCGTCTAGTGGTGTGAGGATGGCGGGGCTCCAGGTCGGAGGATACTTACCATTCCAAGATGAAAGGGAGAAGACGAAAAGACTCGAACTGTTTTACAGTGCTGTTTGGAAGCCATGCAGACCCTTAAGGGTAGAAATGCCTTGCTTGTGTTCCCCGACAGTTCATAGAAACTTCACGCCAGTGTCTCACTTGAGTCTTGCAATACTTAGTACAACACTGAGACCAGGCCTACTTGTTCCACGGTTGAGCACATTTATCTCTGCTTGATGGAGAACGACTAACTGGGAGCACTCAGGGCACCTGAGCAGAGTCAGCCAAGGAGAGAAACCACAACCCACGGGTGATGCCTGAGCTTGGTGTCCGACACCCTGCCCTCTGCTCCCCCCACACCCACACCAGTCCCAGCACCGCCACAGCCCCATTCCAACAGCCCTATTCCCACGTGCAGATGCACCGTGGAGTCTCAGACCTGGACGTGTGGAGCAGGTGACCGTGAGCTCCGTCTTACAGGAACCAGAAACTCCCCAACAGCCTCTGCTAGTTTGTATACTGCTTCTGGAATGTAAACTCTTGGTTCTAGAAAAGATGGAGGATGGTGCTTCAGCAGAATTTAAACGTGGTCCCCGGCATTTTAACAGACTGTGCAGAAATGGGCAGTCATTGGCCCCCATGTTTTCCACACGATTGTGTCATGTATGAGAAGGGTGTGTGTGAGGAATTTATTAAGTGAAAAGCAGGAGAACTGGGTTTGGGAGGCTCCCCCTTTATGAAATTATATGTGTTACACCATCTCCAGGACCCCCAATTTCAGCGGTTGCTCTTTCTGGACACTCCAGCGCAGCCGCCTGAGGTGCTGTTAGGATCTGGAAGGTTTCTGAGGTCTCACGCTTGTTGTCCGGTAGAAGTCCCGCCTCCCCCGTGGCTGCCCGCTGGTCAGGACGAACCAGACCTGTTTCGGACGGAGCTCTTCTAAAATCTTTATTTTCTTTCTCAGTCTCGTCTTTGGTTTCAATGCCTGAATAAAAGTCAAAAAACTCAACATGAATCCAAAGAAATATTTTCTCTTCAACGTGGTTTCTGTTGTTGGCAAAAATCAATAACATAGTTATTGCTTCTTCCTAATGTCCCCAAAAGGTCTTTGTGAGCATCGTTCCCAGCTCAAAGAGTAAGCAAAAGCGAACTGAATTGAGGGAAGCAGGACGGAAGGTGGGGTGTGGCTCAGTGGTAGCAGCTGCTAAGTCTGCGCCAGGCCCCGAGTTCCACTGCACAAAGACAATGTACTGTCCGAAAGTACAAAGGAGAAATGAAAGAACAGACGCGAAAGGGTTTATTTCAGCACATATTGACCCATGACCTCTCATTGGTCAAATGCTGGGAATTTGAAGATTAGTGAGAAACAGTTCCAGCCCCTAGAAATCTCACTGTTTAAATAGAACACACTAGAATATGGGCTCTGAGAGGCTTGGGTTGCTATTCATCAATGAGTGTAATTATGCTTGGTGCATAAGAAGTCCTCAATAAAGAGCATATTATGAAAATTCCAATTTCTGTTGTCTTTGAGTAACTCATCTATCATCTATCTATCTATCTATCTATCTATCTATCTATCTATCTATCTATCTATCTATCTATCTATCTATCTTTTTGAGACAGTGCCTCACATAGTTCGGTCCAGGCTGGCGTCTTCCATTTCTCTGTGTAGCTGATTTTAAGTTTGAACTTCTGATCCTCTTGTGTCCCTCTCCCAGGTTCTAGGATTATGGCATGGATCACCACACTCGGTTTTGTTCAGTGCAGTGAGTCCAGGCCAGAACTTCCCACATGCCTTGCCAGCTGAGCAAACCACCCCCACCCCCCAATGCTCAGCCTGCTCAGTGACTTTTGACTGTGAGAGAATTTTAGTAGTTTTCTGTTGTGGACTATTAGTTTGAGATGTGTTACATTCATTTATGCTGTGGGATATCTGCTCAATGATGCAAAGGGTGTGGATTGTTTATGCTGCATTTGTTTAACTCTGTGAAGCTGTGCTACTTTGCCTGTCTGAAACACCTGATTGGTCTAATAGCAAGGCAGGGGAGAGACATAGGCGGGGCCGGCATGAAGAGAGAAAAAAGACAAAAGGGGAGGAGCAAGAAGAAAGAGAAGGAGAGGAGGACCCCAGAGTCTGTCACCCAGCCACACAGCCAGTCATGAAGAAGGAAAGAAGGGACATAGAACAGAGAAAGGTAAGAGTCTAGAGGCAAAATGTAGATGGGATAATTTAAGCTAAAAAAAAAAGGGGTTAGAAATGAGCCAAGCTAAGACTGGGCATTCATAAGTAAAAATGAATCTCTGTGTATTTATTGGAGAGCTGGGTGATGGACCCCCAAAGAGTAAAAAATAGAAAAATAGTACAAAACAAATGTTGCAGTTTTCCAGACAGTTAGACCCACGCCAATGAAGATGGAGGAATGGGTACTGGAGTTCTGTCATCAACAGCAACCAAAACAAGTCAGCACTGTGTAAACCGGCCAGTGCAGTCAGTCACAGTAGCGAAGAATCGTGAGAGTAAACAGTCTCCTTGTCCTGTGCACTGTCAGGCATGTTTCTTTGAGCCTTCATAGCAGCGTGTGGGTGGTGCAAGAAGAGAGATGAAGAGAGATGTCATAAACCGAGGTCCTGAGCGGGAAGATTTGCAAACGTTTGCGGGAAACCCCATTTATTTCATTTATTTAATTTTTTATTTTATGTGCGTTGTTGTTCTGTTTGTATGATTTTTGTCAGATCCCCTGGAACAGTAGTTACAGACAGTTGTAAACTGCCATGTGGGTGCAGGAAATTGAACCCAGGTCTTCTGGAAGAGTAGCCAGTGCTCTTAACTGTTGAGCCATCTCTCCAGCCCCTATATTTATTTATTTATTTGAGATAGCATCTCTCTCCATAGCCCTGGCTGTCCTGGAACTCGCTCTATAGACCAGGCTGGCCTCAGACTCACAGAGATCCCCCTGCCTCTGTCTCCTGAGTGCTGGGATTAAAGCTGTGTGCTACCGCATCCAGCTAATTTTTTTCAATAAAAAATAAAATTGTATATCCAATTAAAAAATTTCAAATCTGTAGCTGTTTGAGTGTGTGAAATTAAATACAATAAGATGATCTTTGTAGAAGATACCAGGTCTGGTGCAAAATTGAGATTAATAGCAGTTGGTATAATTCTCTGCTTCCTTGTCAAATTATCTGAAACTTAGTGACGATAACCCCCAGCTATAAAGCATGGAAATCACTTCTTGGGTAGGAGAGCTAGTCTTGTCCCGTAACCCTGTGAAAGAAAAGCTGAACTCAGGGATGTGATTCAGTGGGTAAGGTGCTTGCAGAGAAGCATGAACGGCTGTGTCCAGGTCCACAGCATGCGTGGAAAAGCCAGACACTGTGTGCAGTGTTCCCCCAGTGCTGGGGGTGGGGGGCTGGGATGAGTGGATCCCTGGCACCTGCTGCCTAGCCAGTCTAGCTGAACTGATGAGCCCTGGGTTGAGTGTGAGAGATTCCCTCAAAAGATAAAGTGCAGATTGAAAGAAGATACCTGGTGCTGAACCCTGGCCTCCATATGCAAGTGCAATTCTTGTACACTCATGCATGACCCATACACAAGCATGCATGCACACACACAGAGCTACATACATATAATTTGGTAGCTGAGAATGACTGCCCAGTATTTAGAAGCACACCCTCGGCCATGTGTTGGAAGTAGACACTGCAAGGAGCGTGAGCGACCTCTACAGCGGAGTCCTGGAAGGAGAAGAAGGTGGCACCATTGCAGAGATGAAGCAGGAATGTGACTTCTTGCTCAGTACTTCAGGGGGTATCGTCAGTGTGTTGCAGGGATAAAGCGCAGACACCACTACTCTCAAGGAGTTTTCCGTGTATGGGGACATACACGGATGAACAGATGGTTTCACCTCTGTCTGATAAAACCATGGAATAATAATAGTGGCTATCATTTGAGGATCATTCTAAATTCGTGTTGTGGCTCAGCTGTCAACATGCTATGAGGTAGGGAAGCTGCACACTGCTCCAGGTGGCGCAGGGACAGGAAGCCGACTTCAACTTTTGGTTCTTTCTTCTCGAACCAGTTTTCTATTGGCAGCCCCTGGTCTGGGCTGGGCTGGGGACTGTCAGGAGGGTAGGAAATGTCTCAATTTTCCATGAGTTTTTTTGAGTAATAGAAAAGAAAAAGAATACAATCTGTTAGAAAATGGAAAAGAAGCAGAAAGCAATCAAAGCGCATCAGGTTATAGCTCACACAACACAATTTTCCTCTAACTTTTGTGGGTATTTCCATCAAACCAGATATTGACACTTCTTCAGTCTACTTTCTTGTGACTATTTTAAGCTCACATTTCAAATTTCCATGTCCTTTTGCTGACAACCAATCCCAAACTGCTTACTGATGAAGGGTGAGCTTCCAAGGTATCCCCGTCATGTGAAGGTCACTTCGAAGAACATGGAGTCTTCATCTACAATGTAGTACTCTTTTTCCAAAAAAAAAAAAATCCATGCCCAGGTTAGATGGAAAGCTGATTTGTTAGTTTGTTTCCTTCTGTAATGGACAGAAGACATCGGCAGAAGTGACGAAAAAAATAACACTCAGGGCACACACTTACTTAATATTTTCTATAGAGAAGAAAGGGTCTTTGGTTTTCTAGAGAACATGGTTAAGTGATTTTCCACACGTGGGTAGTAACCATCACAGGGGTTGCATAGCGGATGGCCTGCATATCAGATATTTACATTAAGACTCATATAACAGTGGCAAAATTACATCTATGAAGTAGCAATGAAAGGAAATTCATGGTTGGGGTCGCCATGATGTGAGGATCTGTACCAAAGGACTGCAGCATCAGGAAGGTTGAGAACCAAAGACTTAGAGAAACAGTTCTACAAGTCGTTAGGCACAAATTAGATATTCAATACATGCCAGTTATTTTCATCAGGATTTTATTTATTTACTTATTTTTAATTTTTAATTTGTGCATGTGTGCACGCATGTGTGCATGTGCATGTGTATGTGTTTGAGTATGTGCACATGGATGAAGGTGCCAGTGGAGGCCAGTGGGTGCCAGTGGAGGGCATCAAAGCACATGTTGCTGGAGTTACATGCTATTGTGAGCTTCTCAACTTTCAGCATGGTTTTAAAGGAGCACAGACTTGATTTATGCCAGGCTACCCACTCCTGGTTTAATTTACCTTTTACTAATAGCTGGATTATTTGTATTTTAAAATTTCTGCTAGCTTTAAGAACAGCCTCTACTTTTGTCATGACGTCTTAATTCAAGGCATTCACCGGCTTCTCTCTGCCCAGTAGCCAACCAAAGCAATGCTATTTATTATGCTATAATGTTAGTTAGCCTAGTCCTTGAGCAAGATCAGTAAATGTCATAGTGTCCCTCCCTCAGGCTGAGCTTATCAGTCTCTGGCCTGATATCTAAGGCAAGCTGTTGCTTGCTGCAAGCCCGTGATCACTGTTGGATTGCCCTTCAGTTTCCTCCCAGAGCAATGAGAAACAGGCAGCATGGACAAATAGAGCCTGTGTGGCGAGACCGCCAGTGGACGCTTGCGCCAGCTGTGTTGGGAGGAAGAGGCTAGATGAAGCCAAGAGGTGAGGCTCATCTTTAGGTATTTGGAGGCTGTTGTCATTAGCATTGCTAAATAATGATGGCCTCGGAAATAACGAAACAGATACCTAAGAAACAGTTTGACAGAACTTCAATGTAAAGATAAATGTCGCCAGTACATGCAATGAGACACCGTGAAGAAAAACAAAAACTAGTCATGAAATAAAAAAATCCAAGTGGTAACAGAGCATACAAAGCCCCCCTCCCCTGAGGTGAGTGACCCCTCCCCTGTTATATTGGTCATATCCCACAGACTGGCCTTAAATATGCACCCTTTGAAAGATGTTAAAGACATTATAACATCTGAATTAAATATGGACTTTTGTCAAGGACAGTATTTGATGCTGGAACTGGTTTATCCACAGTGCCACCTTTATGAGGTGGGACCTCGCTGAGCCGTGTCTTTCTCTGTAGACTCCCACTGTGATCCTCTTGGCCTGGCTGAGGCTCCCAGATCAACAGGTGGACTGGCAGTGACTGCAGCCTCGAATGCTGTGACCCATAGTAAACTTTTCTTCTATTTATATTGATTTTGTCAGGTGCTGTGTTACAGTAAAGAAAAGCTGACTCACACAACTGTTACGGTAACGAAGGAGATATAGTTCTAGCTTCCTGAAGTGTGGATGGCTGCCGTGTGTGTTTGGGTAATTCCAGAGAGCTGATTAGCATATATTTTGGTGGGGGAATTGAGGTATCCTCCTCCTTTCACAGTGTATAGGTCAGACCTATACCCGCCGGAGAACCTGAAGTCCTTTCCAGCCCAGGGAAAGTTACGTTAATCCTTACCTGATCTCATGTTCCAATTGCTGACCTCAATGACACAGTCCAAAATACATACAAACTTCAGAGTACGTTTAAGGAGCTTAGGTTGTGAATGCGGGTTGTGACAGGACACACTGTGTCAGCCCCTTCTCTGAAACAGAGCTCAGGTCACCAGGGAAACACCCTGTAAGCCTTGGGGTCCATGTCTGCAGTTGGACACTGACTATAGAATCAGGAGACCTCATATGTCACCAAGAAACCTCACTGCAGTAGCCAAGCCAGAGTCTCCAGAGAAACACTCATGAAAATAAACTGCAGACTAGCCAGCCAGCCAGTGGTGGCAGTGCACACCTTTAATCCTAGCACATGGGAGGCAGAGGCAGGTGGATCACTGTGAGTTCGAGGCCAGCCTGGTCTGCAGAGTGAGTTCTAGGACAGACTCCAAAGCTACACAGGGAAACCCTGTCTCCAAAAACCAATCAACAACAACAACAACAGCAACAACAAAATACCTCGGACCTGCTGGAGCGGCCTTTCTAGAGAGGCTGCTTCTCTCAGCTGAGTGGCTACACCTTTATACATTTGGAACTCATTCTGGGCCTAATTTATCTCATTGTAAATTTACCCCATTTATCAGGTGTATATGTATCCTGTTAGACTTTGTGGTGTTATTCTTCCTCTTTAAACATTGTGAATCTAAGAAAACTTCTCTCTGTATGGCAACAAACCATATTTATGAAGTCATTCTTAGATCAGTTCTTCACTTCCACGTGACTCAACAGGGCACAAAATGCTAATTCTTTCCTCTTGCAGTGATGGGAAAGTGGTCAGGGCCTTGAGTCTTCTAGGCAAGTCCTCTACCACTGAACTACAGCCCTGTGCACAGTGAGACTCATGTGTTCACAACTGTCTCTTGTCAGGTGGAGAAATGTGAGAAAAAAAGTATCAAGTATTTATCCAAGTATGATATTCAGTAGCATATTTTATACAGGTATCAAATTATCATATTTTATACTGTAAATACATGGAAATATCACTTAGCAAAAAACAAAAACAAAAACAAAAAAAACCCCAAAACAACAAACCTCTACTTACTGTATCCAGGAAGACTTAATACTACCTGATTTACTAAGTTACTTAGTAAATCAGTTACTTAGTAAATCTTAGTTACTAAGTCTTATTGCAGAAATAAAGTTTCCTTTAAAAGTATAAGACTTTGGAATTAAAATAAAAAAAAATTGGGACAGCAGCACTATGGACAAGGCTGACCTGAGTTCAATACCCAGAACCCACAGAGGAGGGGCCCTACTTCAACAAGTGGTCCTATGACCTGCTCATGTGTGCTCACATGTGCTCACATGTAGAAGGAAGGTGCGGGCTGCATTCCTGCCCAGATCCCGGCTAACTTTTCCTGAAATAATTACATGAAAAACCGTATTCTTTTAAACACTGCCTGGCCCATTAGCTCTAGCCTCTTATTGGCTAACTCTCACATCTTGATTAACCCATTTCTAATAATCTGTGTAGCACCACGAGGTGGTGGCTTACCGGGAAGATTCTAACCTGTGTCCATCTTGGGCCGGAGCTTCATGGCGTCTGCCACATTGCCTTCTTCCCAGAATTCTGTTCTGTCTACTCTGCCCACCTAATCTCTGACCTATCAGGCCAAGTAGTTTCTATATTATTTAACCAATGAAAGCAACACATAGAAAGAAGACCCACCTACATCACTCACATGTGCTGGGAATGTAATGATGTGGTATACACAGAGTAGAAAAAGAATGCAAACATTAAAATGTAGAAATGCATTATAAAAAAACAGAGAAAAACTTGAAAACTATATTTAATAAATTATGACTTACAAATAGGCAAAATTAAATACCAAATGATAAATTAACAGCTGTTGTCAAATATGTTTAAGACTGAATATTTTGGGGAAAATATTTGGGATGCTTAACAATTAAAGTGAATACTTCTTGTCACATCCTTACGTTTTCTGATACTCGATGATATTCAAATAGCTTGAACTGTCCTAAGAATTTCACTTCTGTATCTCTGGTCATAACACAGCTTAACATGCATTTAAATTCATTTGCAGCTTATTGTTGTGAATTTGGGACTATAACCTGGAGCGGGCAGCTGTTGCATAGTGCGTATCACTTAGGAAACATCCCACAGTGCCTCATGGGATCCAGTCCTCTAAGTTATGCCTTGATATGCACAGTTGCATGGTCTCGGATGAAAAAGTATGTCTTTTTTTTTTTTCCCAAACAGCTATAAATTTAGGTAGGAGAAACCTGAGAAAGAGAAGTTTGCAAATGAAGGAAGGGAAAGCATGTCCTGTCTCCATTTACTTCCCATGGTCATTGCCCTAGTGTTGGGAACTGGAGGTGACAGAGTCCTAAGTGCGCCTGGCTGGATACGTCATGCCACCCCTCCCCCCAGACAGGGTGATCTTCCAGGTGGCTGCCATTTCTCGGACTTTGGTTTAATTCACATGTATTCAAGTATTCTGTAGGTCAGCCCTATTCTCCCCCTCAGTGCTTCAGGGTGCTGGGAGAGAGAGGCTCCAACACCTCAGGCAGCATTCTGCTCCAGAGATGGTAGGCTATTCTTGTGTAACTACACATTGAGGTTTTCTTTTTCTTTCTTTCTTTTTTTTTTTTAAAAAGATTTTATTTATTATGTATACAACATTCTGCCTTCACATATGCCTGCACACCAGAAGAGGGCGCCAGATCTCATTACAGATGGTTGTGAGCCACCATGTGGTTGCTGGAAATTGAACTCAGATCCTTTGGAAGAACAGTCAGTGCTCTTAACCTCTGAGCCATCTCTCCAGCCCCACATTGAGGTTTTCAGAAAGAAGTAAAAACTTCCTGAAACTGAAGACTGCCCAAAGCTGGGGTCCCGCAACTGCTTCTCTGCTTATACTGACCTAAGCTGAATGATACAGTGTAAGGCTTTGCTCCTGGGAGACTCTTGGGTGTGAGTGCCTCGGGAAGAGGGTGAGGTCGCAGGCATCGAGACTTCCGGCTCTAACCCAGTAACAGGGTCTGTTTGGGTGTCTCCAAACTGTATTAATGATGTATTCGACTCTCCATTTTGGGGATAAAAACACAACATGTGCTCCTACACACAATGCACGTGTTTTGTCCCTCTGCTCAGTTCTTAAAACAGTTACACAATGTAAGATGGGTGGACGCTGAAAGAGATCCCAGGTTCTCTTAGATTATTTAGCATGGCTCAATAGAGGCATCACTCGCCTTGGACAGAAAATAAAGGCACCTGAAGAAATCTCAAAACAATCTTAGAGAATTAAATAAAATATATTTCAAGATTGTGTTAGCAGTTTTCAATATATAAGAGTGCAGAAACACAGATTTCATTTAACACGTGGGCCAGCATGGCCCAGCTTCATTGTCAGCTTGGCAAGAGATGCTTAGGTCATTGCTAAAGCACATTCTGTCTATGTCTGTTTCTCCCCCTTCTTTCCCCCTTCTCCTTCTCCCTTCACATGTGTGAATACCCATGCACACACATTTGTACATACACAAACATGTACACACAACAACCAGTTTTTTCTATGAGAATTCTGTGTTGAGATTGTACCTTTGTACAATCAAAGATGTTGAGAGTTGCAGATGTTGCAGAGAGCTTTGCATTCTGGGAGTTCTAAACTTGCAGAGATGTGAACTGGAGGAGAGGATGGGTCACCTGCGCAGACCACAGAAGCAGACCAGCTTTTGCAGAAGAGGCCGGTACACAAGTGAACAAACCATAGGGAATACCTGAGCTCCTCTGCCTCTGCCCCCAGAGCGCTGGGGTTGAAGATGTGTGCCAACATGCCTGGCTAGATATCAGCAGTTTTACATAGATGAACTTGGCATCTATGTAAGTGACAAGATGTGGCATGCAGTGCTGGCCTCAGAGGGAGGAGACTAGACTGGAGTCTCAGCAATGCCACTAACTAGATAGGCCGTGTGAGTAACTTGTTCTTGTGACCTCAGTGTCTCTCCCCGGGGAGGAAGAAGAATTACGTCTTTTCTGAACTCCTTTTCAGGGTTAATCCCCAATATTTTTTCTGCACACCTTAGCGTGTGTCCCTGCTGTTAGCAGCAGGAAAACATGAGTTTATGTTCCCCTTTTAAACAAATTATATTACTTAGTGTAAATCCAAGGGAACTTGACAGATTAAGCGTGAACTTTAAACTCTCTGGTGGTCTGAGCCTGAATCAGGAGAACAAACTCTCGGGAAGGCACACGCTGCCCGAATCGTGCAGTCTCGCTCCCGACTACGCGATGTTACCATGTCCTTCTATCTTCTGTGAAACCCAAACAACTGCTGTGAATATCAGGAGCGAGTGAGCTTGACATTTGACAAATTACATGCCTGTGGCTCTGTGACCATGCCTCGGTCCAGGTCACAGAGCTAGTAAAACAAATGAAAAGCTATGCGAAGCCTACCAATCACAGGGCTTCTTCTCCAGCATCGGCTGTGTCTCTTACTGCTCCTGCTCAGAAGTAGGCAACTCGCCTGTCCACAGTGTGAGTTTGTGGCCTTGAGCATTCATGCATCTGGTCGTTGAAGATGCTTCCCTGGGTTGTATCTTATCTGTCACTTACCAGTGTGTTGGCGCCGTCCCAGACTACAGCTGTCTGGGTGTTGATCTCTTTCTTGCTATGGAGTTGATTACAGGTTTCTTTTCATGTTAGTGCCCATAGCCACATAGTCAAGTCATTGGTGATTAATAGGTCTCCAATAAGTACCTGTGTGATGGCTGAACCCCTCTTGGAAAACCTGGCGTACATGTGGATAAAACTGCAGCATGGGCATCTCTAGTAACTTAGCCTATGTGTAGTTTATGCACACATTGTTTATACTGATTTACCGCACAGCAAATAATGGTTACAATTTCCTAGTAACATAATAGAATGCAGTCAAGTTTTATTTCAATTGACAACAGAGCGGTATCCACAGCCAAACTTTTGGATGTTTTAGCTTCTAAAACGTGTTGTGTGAACAGTCACGCAGTGGGGATTTTCAAGTTTGAGGGTCTTGTTCTAGAGAACTCTTTTAAAGAGTTAATTTGTGTGTGTATGTATGTCTATGTGTGGGCGTGTGCACATGAATGTTCTTGTAGGAGCCACAAGAGGGATTTGGATCTCCCGGAGTCATAGGTGGTTATAAGACCCTTGATATGGATTCTGGAAATGAACTCGGGTCCTCGGCGAGGGCAGTGCACACTATTGACTGCCAAGCCATCTCTCCAACACTTGGAGAAATCTTTAAAAGACAATTAAAGTAATACTTTGATTGTCCATAATATATAATATTTCACTGTTTTTTCTTTTTCGGACATTTTATAAGCTGGTCATGTCATCCTGGTCATACAGGCTTATATCTGACTGGCATTTGAAGAGTACGAGGGTTTATTATGAATATTTGCTGAAAAGCCACTCTACACTGTGTGCCTTAGGAAGGTCGAGTTCCTTCCAGAATAAAGACTTCAATTTCTTTTTGAGTGTCCAACACATGAGATGGTCACCAATGAGTGTGTACTGATGTCAGCAACTGGGGACTCTGGGCGAAAAATCCAAAATTAATTATAGTGGTAGGGAACGGGGTAATGGGCAGAGAAGGCGTGCAGGCAGAGGCAGGGACAGGAAGCTGATGGTCACATCGATTCCACCTTCAGGAAGAAGAGGGTGAGCAGGAAGAGGGGCTGGTCCCCAGTGACCTGCTTCCTCCAATGAGGCTCTGCCTCCTGGAGATTCTACAACCTTCCTAAACAATACCACTTACCAGGGACCAAGAACTGGAAGATGTGAGCCTAAGAGGGACATTTTGCATTCAAATGTTGGGGATATTTCTTAACATTAGCTTTCACCAGAACATTCCAGGCTCTTTGGGAATATGGATGCCAGGGGCTGGAGTGAAGCCTCTACCTGAACATTCCAGACTCTTTGGGTATATGGATGCCAGGGGCTGGGGTGAAGCTTCCACCAAAACACTAATGTCAATCTTTTGACTGTAGACTCATAGGGTCCTGCTCAGAAAGCAGCACGTTATTATAATAATTATTTATTTTTATTTTCGTTGCATTGGTGTTTTGCCTCCATATATGTCTGTGTGAGTGTATCAGATCTTGGAGTTACAGACAGTTGTTGGCTGCCATGTGGGTGCTGGGAATTGAACCTGGGTCCTCTGGAAGAGCAGCCAGTGAGCTTAACCACGGAGCCATCTCTCCAGCCCCAAATTGTACATTTTAATGGACAAATTGGTGGTTTGAATGAAAATTGTCCCCGCCCCCCCCCCCCCCGTTTCGTATATTTGAGTACTTGGTCTACCGTTGGTTGAACTGTTTGGGAAGGATTAGGCGGTGTGGTCTTGTTGGAGGAGGTGTGGGCTTTGAGGTTTCAAAGTCTGTGTTGTTCCCAGCTGGCTCTCTTTCTCTCAGCCTCACGGCTGTTGATCAACATGTAAGCTCTTAGCTGTTGCCCCAGTACCAAGTGGGCCTGCCCTCTGCCGCACTTCCTTTCATGATAAAGCCCAGTGAACTCCTTTGTAGCCAGCCTCAGCCATGGCGTCTTAGCATAGCAATAGAAAACCAAGTGAGACACATTGCGTGGTATATGAATTGTATCTCAGTAAAGCCGTTAAGAAAGAAATCTATGGTAAACTAACAAAATACCAGACTAATGATGAAGGTGCTTTGGCATCTCTATAATGTCTGTAAGCTGCTATTTCTACAGCTACATAGCGACAGGCTGCTGAGACTCCACCCCAACCCGCAGGCAGGGAGCCAGGCCAGCTCTCTCTGGAGACCACACCCACCTGTGTCTGTGTCTGTGTCAGTTCTGGAGCACCGGCACTGCCAACGGCACTGCCTCGCTGCAGCCACCAGGGGGCAGAGCCAGCGTCCCGGAATGTGGTGGCCAGCAGGGGCAGGACCAGCTCTTCCTTGCCCACACCAGTGGGGCCAGCTCTCCTGCCGTGGTGGCCATTGAGGGGGCAGAGCTAGCTCTCCCAGGGCTAGTAGGGGGTGTGGATCCAGCTTGGCACGGACATCAAATCAACACTGGCCCTGGAACATCACTGTGGTTTTAGGCAGCAGTCCAGACAGCGAGTATCTGAATGGCCTTTGATGGCAACACGGGCCGGACATCAACAAATGTCAGCTGCAGTAGGGTCTCAGACCCAGATGCGGCGCTCGGAGGCTGCACAGGCCCAGACGTGGCTCCGCCAGGCGGCAGTGCAGGCCTCTCACATCGGCTGTTCCTCATCGACCTCTCTCTCCACAGCCCTTGAACTGCTTCGCTTCTCTTTCTCTTCCGTTTCTCCACCACATATTTGGCCACCAAAGTGGCGCCCCTCGAGAGGTCTAACCAACCATGGCATCTAGGTGGCACAGGCAGGTGGGCCTCTCTGAATCTGTATTTTTGTATAAATATTTAAAAATAGTCAAATTGCCCCCCTCCTCTTTTTGAGACAAGATTTCACGGAGGTCAGGCTTGCCTCAGGTTATGTAATCGAGGATGATCTTGAACTTCTGATTCCCTCGCTTTCACCTCCCAAGTGCTGGGATTACAGGCATGTGCCACCACACCTAGTTTATATGGGGTTGAGGAGTGAGCCCCAGGTCTCATGCATGCTAGACAAACCCGCTACCAACTGAGCTACCTAGTCCAAAGGGTTCATTTTTCTAAAACCTCTCTGCACAATGTAAAACAAGTTCCAAGTAGGAACTGGTTCTCTGTTTTTACCATGTGGGTTCCAGGAACTGAATTTAGGCTGTTGGTCTTCGGGACAACTGACCTCATTCACTGACCCAATTCTGTGATTTTCCTAATCCTTCCTTCCACATCTCTGCCGAAAATGTTTGTGCACCAAATCACAGCAATGCCAGCCATTCCAGTCAACACCTTTGACATCTTCTCTCTCTCTCTCTCTCTCTCTCTCTCTCTCTCTCTCTCTCTTTCTCTCTCTTTTTCGGTTTTTTGAGGCAGGGTTTCTCTTTAGCTTTGGAGCTTGTCCAGGAACTCGCTCTGTAGACCAGGCTGGCCTCAAACTCACAGAGATCCCCCTACCTCTGCCTGCCAAATGCTGGGATTAAAGGCGTGCACCACCACTGCCCTATGACATCTGCTTCCTTCATCCACGAGATGGGGATGATATGAATTCACGACAGTGCTGTGGGGAGTGACGAGGAGGGAGGCGGCTCTGCTATGCCACCTTCAATGAAGCAGTTTAGTGACGGCTGAGTCTGAATTTGGCAATGAGGTAATGACCTCAAGGAGAAACAAATGCGCTAACCAGCCATTCCAAGTGAATAAAACATTTTAGAGAGCTGTATACATGTCCATCCTCATATAGTAACATATATCAGCAATGCACATGTGCATGCTTGATTTGTGTAAATTGTTTCCTAGAGTACATAACACATACATGGGATTTAGGACTTAGTCTTATTGCAGTGTGTTGTTTATCCTGAAGTGATTATTATTGCTATCACCATCATCATTTTTGAGACCAGGTGTCACGATGTAGCTCAGTCTGACCTCTAACTCATGACTTTACTGCGCAGGCTCCTGAGGACATGGGTCTGTGACACTATGCTTGACCCTGAAGTCACTTGGGAGCTTGCTTTATGAGGCACAATGAGAACAATTTTGACTTTTTCAAGAAATAAGTTCTCTTCTCAAGGAGTAACATACTCCTCAATTGATGTGTGCCATACCCAGGATATTTAGAAACTGAGAAGGGAAAGCAGAGACCCACAATAAGGCCATGTGGGCATCACTCACCCCTCCCCCGAAAATAGTAGGTGTTGCTTGCTAATAAAAAACATTATAGGGAATCCATTTACCTGTTTTGGAGTGTGATGAAAATTCTGTAAGCATCTGAAAGAAAACCTCCAGGGCAGGGAAGCTGCAAACCTCAGCCTGGAGGAGAGAAGAAAGAACAAAGTCGTTTTCCTTCTGTAAGCTGGCACACGGGCACAGAGGCCAGTTGTTGGGTGGCAGGTAGCCACATGACAGAGGGGAGACTTTTTTAAAGAGAAATAGTAGAGTCGTTCAAAGCACCTGAAGCAGGCTTGGTTCTGGTCAGCACCCCATAGAAAAGACAGAAGCGAAGACCAGGGAATAGCTACACTTTCCTGAGTTAGGAGTCAAGACTCAGGTAAACACCATGGAGCTCAGCTCGAAGGTGTGCTGGGGGTGGCGACTCTGGGAAGGAAGGTATATTATCTCATTAAGGGCTGGTTTTTCCTCCCACCTCTGCCATGGCTTAAGGTGATCCTGCCTCCCTGAGGTCCTTAGCCAGGTGACTGACCCTGTCTGCCTGGAATGCTGGGATGCCATCTCCACCTACAAAGATTCCATTTTCTTGACCAGAAGGAGTCTTCCCTTAATGGACAAGAAAATCATGTATAATATTTTTACTTTTTTGAAAAGGGGTTTCTCCTATTAACTGTTTGTTAAAGCATGTTGATTTTCTCATACCAAGATTTTCTTAGGTTCACGCTGACTTTCTGTTGTTGCTTTTGGAAATTCAGAATTTAAAATGAACTTTAGTGACAAAATGAGTGGTATCTTATTTTATAAAGACAGAGAGAGCTGGAGACCAGTGTGATCTGATTCTTATCTTCTAAAGACAGAGAGAGTTGGTGACCAGTGTGATCTGATTTGTATTTTATAAAGACAGAGAGAGCTGGAGACCAGTGTGATTATGACTCTTATTTTATAAGGACAGAGAGCGCTGGTGACCAATGTGATCTGATTCTGTCCTGTTGAAGAACACATTATCCCAATTCTCCTTTGCTTGGGTATCTGAGCCCACTGTGTTATTAAAGGCTCCTTCTGAAGCGTGCACAAGAAGAATAACGTGCTTAGTTATGTTAACCAATGTTATTGAGCCAAACTGGCCGTGGTGCACTCACACATTCTCTTTCTAAACTGCCTTTTCCTAATAACAGGAGTGACCTCTGTAAAGTATTTATTTATTTATTTTAAATTTTTATTTAAATCTAACTTTATTTCATGCACATTGGTATAATGATGTCAGATTCTCTTGAATTGGAGATACAGACAGCTGCAAGATGCCATGTGGGTGCTGGGAATTGAACCCAGGTCCTCTGGAGGAGCAGTCAGTGCTCTTAACCACTGAGCCATCTCACCAGCCCCCTCTGTAAAGTATTTATGCAAGAAAATATAAAAAGTAAAAAGCAATAAAATAATTTATGATCCGCTATTGCTATTATAAGCTAATTTTTACTATCAATGTATATACTGCAGACATTTCCCCCTGCTTCAACACACACAGAGAACTACACACACACATTCACACACACACCACACTTCCCTGCCTACCACATACCCCCCACCTATCCCCTCTTCTCCACACCCCAATACCACACTCTCATGCAGATACACAGTGTACACATAGATCCTTCTCCTCACACCTGTCCCATACACATAGGTACCCCTCCATTCTCCGGACATACACACAGAAACACTTCCCACAAACACACACACCTCCATTCCTTCCTCTCACTGCTCCCACATCACACACACTGAACCACACACATAGACATATGCCACAAATCCTAACTCCCCTCTACAGAGACACATATACACCATACATACACAGAAAAGTACATACATGACACACATACACAGACACACGCTCATGTAATCTTCTTTGTGTCATTGCATACTGCTTTTGGCCACTTTTATTTAATGGCACATTGTGAACCTCTTTCCACATTCATAAATGTAGATTTATTATGACATCAATGGCCATAGAATGTTTCACATGTAGTCTTATTACAGCTATGCTTTCCTTGACTTGACAAGGAGCCATAGAAACAGAAGAAACATTTTATCTCACCACTGTGTTGCCCCTAACATACTTATGATTTTGAATTTTTTCAAATATAATTTTAGTTGAAATAGAATTATATCAATTTCCTCCTTCCCTCTCTGGAACCTCTTCCATGTTCGTCCGCCCAAGCTGACAATCTCTTTCTCTTTGATTATTATTGCTACGTCCTCCCACACGCATACACACAACTCCGTGAAAATAATGACCTAGGGAGAAGGAGGATAAATAAATGTGCCTAACAGTATGTTTAATTGACAAGTTCAGAATTTGAGAAATCTGAAGTGCATTCTCTCTTCCACTGACTTTCTTGGCAATCTTGAATGTAATGAAGCTTACCTCAGTATTACAAAAAAGACTGAGGGCTGGGAATACAGCTCAGTGGCAGAGTGCTTGCCTCGCTAGTGTAAGGCACTGTGGTGGTTTGGATGAGAATGGCTCCCACAGACTCTTAGATGTGAACGCTTTGGTCACCAGGGCGTGGTCCTGTTTGAAAGGATTAGGAGGTGTGGCGTTGTTGGAGGAAGTGTGTCACTGGGGTTGGTTGGACTTTGAGGTTTCAAAAGCCCACGCCAAACCCAGAGTCTTTCTTTTTTCCTGCTGCCATCAGAACTGGATGCAGAACACTTAGCTACTTCTCCAGCCATGTCTACCTGCATGCCGGCATGTTCCTCCCCACCATGATGATCATGGACTAAACCTCTGAACTGTAAGCCACTCCAGTTAAATGCTTTCTCTTATAAGAGTGGCTGTGGTCACGGTGTCTCTTCACACCAATAGGACACTGACTAAGACAGCCTTAGTTCAGTTTTCAAAATCAAACAACAAAAAGCTCCCTCTCCTCCATCTTGGGAGCACTTACTATTCAAGGATCTGGGTTTGGTTCCAAGAGCCCACATTGGACAGCTTGCAACCATCTGTGTGTCCAGTTTCAGGGAGCTGGCACTCTCTTCATGCCTCTTTGGGTACCTGCATGTATGTGGTACATGTATATTCAGTAGGCACACATATAAATAGATCTTTAATTAAAAGAGGAGACTGAGAGTTTACAGTGAAATGATCTGATGTCAAGTCCTTTAAACTAGAAACTGTTGGGACACACAAATCTTATTATCAAGTTTTTTTCATTAAATTGCTGCTTAAACACTATACAAGTAGCATTTATTTATAACTGCGTGGGAGGCCCACTTATACACAGTGGGCAACTGATAAATGCTGGGCCTCCAACCACATTTTGATGTCTGTTGCTTCCTTCACTGAGCTGTAACAGAGCCAGGCACAGTTGATTATGAAACCAAGAATTGGACAGGCAAAGTGGCCATTCAGCAGGCAGTGCCAACACCCAGACCGACACACCCATACTTCCTGTTCCTCCTGTGCCCTCCTCTAACAACTATGAGAAGCAGGATACAGTGACAGAGTGAGAATCTGAGTACTATACACAGTGGCCAATTAAACAGTCTGTTGGGTTTAGCTAAGACCCTAATTAATAAAGGAGAGGGGGCCTGAAGTGGCCTTGCCCTGTAGTCAGACTGATGATTATCTCTTAAAAATCACCATAGAACCTTTGCCCAACAACAGATAGAAACAGAAGCAGAGACCTACATCGGAGCACCAGACTAAGCTCCCAAGGTCCAGTTGTGTAGGGAGCCACCTGGAGGCACAGGTGGTCCTGCAGTTTGGAGGTAGCCACGTGGGGCTGAGCACCCTTGCCTGCACCCTTGCTTGCACATGCTCAGACCAGCAGAATGGCATTAACCAATCAGGACAGCGTTCAAGCCGCTCCACCGTTTAAAAGCAGCTGCCTCGGGGCCCAACGCTCTCTCTCTAAGCTTTCTCTCGTCCCTGCTCTATCTTCCCTTCCCCCAATTTTCCTCAAGGGAATGCTCCAAATAAAGATGTGACCAGAGAAGGAATTCTCGTTTTTGGTGGCGTTCATTCCTGCTGGTCAGGATGGCCCCCCGCACAGTTGAAGAGTAGAAGGAATGAGAATATGAGCAAAGACCATGAAGGATTCTTCCGCTGAAACAGTTTACTTAAGCTAATGGGAGCTCACCAACTCCAGCTGGACTGGGAAGGAACAAGCATAGGACCAAACTCTGGATGTGACTGACAATTGTATGGCTGGGGAAGACTGAGGGGCCTCTGGCAGTGGCACCAGGATTTACCCCTACTGCTTGTACTGGCCTTTTGGGATCCTATTCTCTTTGGATGGATACCTTGCTCAGCCTAGATGTAGTAGGAGGGCCTTGGACCTTCCACAAAGCAAAGTGCCTTACCCTCTCTTAGTTTTAGAGGGAAGTAGGGTGGGAGGGTGTGTGGAGGAAATGGGAATTTGGATTGTTTTTTTTTAAATCTAATGAATAAAAAAATAAAATAAACAGTCTGCTGGGTTTAAAGGCTGATCGTATATAGTAAAGTCATCTAGTTACAGATTTTGAGGACTAAATTGCTAATCTTTTTTTTTTCAGTTAGAGAAAGAAAAATACAAACTTTGATCTCTGCACAAATAATTGTAAAGACAGGATTTACTGAGTGAGGCATGCTTCTAAGTGTCTTACATGGGTCGATTCCCTTCATACCTGTGGCTGGTGTAGTGTGTTCCTCCTGCCGCCTACATCTCGACTGGAGTCCGTGAATGTAGTGTGTATCACACAGCCGTTTTCTTAAGTGAAGGCTGCTGGGATGGGGTGTTGTTCTGGATCAAACATGTCAGTGCCCAGTCAGTACGAAGGTGGCAGGAGGCTACCTCAGGCTGTGCAGAGGGAAGAGTGGGCAACTTCTGGAGGCAGGGCCAAGTGAGGAAGTATGTGTTCCCCTATGGATCTTCACCAGGAAATTCAGCCTTCACAGAACCTTGACTATGGACAGCAAGAACGTTTTCCACTTCTACCCACCTGAGCGGGTGGGTTGCAGGGGGGTTGTTAAAGCCACTGCATTTAGGATTAGTTACCCCAATTTTTCCACAGAGTTCTCACTTTAAGTAAACTGCTTAAGCTGTCTGTGTCTCTCAGTCAATTTTTTTTTCCTTCGAGAAGATGTGAACCAGGAGACTTATCCCAAGCTTCCATAATCCTTCTCCCGTGGGATGGTGGGAAGTGTGTCACCAGACACTTCTGCACCCAAACTGCTGAAATGACAGAACCAACACCTTCCACTAGTGTGCTGGAAAAGGAAAATATTAACAATTCAGGCTGTGACTTTTAGTCAACTTTCTGTTTGGAATTCTAAAAAAATTATTTACTTTTATTTTGTATTTTATGAGCATTGGTGTTTCACCTGTATGTATGTATGCCTGTGTGAGGGTGTTGGGTCCCGGGAACTGTAGTTATGGACACCTGTGAGCTGCCATGTGGATGCTGGAAAGTGAACCGAGATCCTTTGGAAGACCAATCAGGGCTCTTAACCACCGAGTCATCTCTCCAGTTCCTGGAACTTTTTTTAAAGTGGGAAATTGAAGGTCTTTTTATTTTTTATTTATGTGGATGTATATGTGTCAGTGTACGTGTCTAGTGATGTATGTGTGTCTAACGAGGTATGGGTTCCCAGAAGCTGGAGTTCCAGTTAGCTGCGAGCTGCCTGATGTGAGTGTTGGGAATTGAAGTCACATCCTCTGCAAGATCAACACATGTTTTAACTACTGAGCCATTCCTCTGGCCCACAGTGGGAATATTTTAAAGGGAAAATGATAAAGTTGGCTCCTGTGGAGATACAGACTAAATTTTTAAAAAACTATCAAATAAACAGTGTTTAAAGGGAACTCTTTAGCAGCTGTTAGAGTCACCAACAGACATAGACTTTAGGCCTATGCTTGGTACTCAGCAGGCAACAGGACGATCTATTGAAAATAAAAAGGGCACATAAATATGTAGTTAGCTTATGGCTACACATAGATGTGAACCAGCATAGTCCATCTGTTTTGGTGTCTGCACTTGATTGTTCGTGTGGCTTTAACTGGTAAGGTGCGCCTTTCGTGGCCCAGGAAGGGCACCTCGGAGCTTGTTCTCTGTCCTCTGTGCATGGTCTCAGTTTTGTGGATGCCTGGCACTTTAGAGTCTTAGCTTTAGAACAGGGTTTTAATTCTGTCTCACTGTGACTCTGACTTTGGTTCTGTCTCACTGGCTCACTGTGACTCTGACTTTGAGCAAGTTCTTCAGCCCCAGTGTTTTTATCTTAAGGCAGTGTTGTGCTGTTTCCTGTTGAACTTACAGGGATTACAAATCCTGATTTATACAGGTGCCGCCTGAGGAAAAGAAAGACACACACACACACACACACACACACACACACACCCAAAACAAGACAAAACAACAAAAACCTAAACCAAACCAACCAACAAAACACTGTCTCTCAGAATCATTATAGAATTACCTTGCTTCTGGTGCTGCCTACAGACCACAGTGCCAGAATCAGAGGACATCTTCTTTTCAAAAGCAGAAGGGAAAATGTTGACTATAGCCCATGTAGCTGGCAGTGGTGGTGTATGCTTTTAATCCCAGTTCCGGAGGCAGAGGCAAGGGGATCTCTGAGAGTTCAAGGCCAGCTTGGTCTATCCAAGTTCCAGGATACCAGGAATAGACAGAGAATGTACCTGGCGCAGCATTGCCCGCAGTATCTCCCACCTGGTAGGTGAATTGCACAACCCGAGGGATAATGCCCAGATTCTTCTGTGGGGGTTGATAAGCAATTTTTTGATGATTGACTTGGGCCTGGGTGAAATGAATAATAAGTGTATTTGGTGAATCAGTGAGCACGATTTCTCCAGCCTGGACTTGGTGGCTGCTGTCAGTGTCAGTTGGTGGTGTCAGTAGGGGGTACCACAGGTTCTGCTCGTCTGAATTCTGGTCAACGTACTGAGCAAGTGAGCTGGTATCCTTGCACCGCCATTTTTGGGTAGTTCCTGGCCACAGCTGAGGACTTAGTTCCTCGGCAGACTGAATGGTGATGGTGAAGAAGTGCTGGTCGGAGAGGCTTGGTGCATCAGGGTCGTCTTGCACATGGAAAGCCAGATGGGCTACTATAGGTCAAGGGCTGCATGGTCCAGGATGGGAGAAGAAAGGTCTCCCTTCCATTATGTCTTTCTGCAGCCACTCCGTCACTACCTTCTCATAAAGTTCCTCCTCCTCCACACAGAGCCAGTCCCTCTGCAGAAGGTTCAGAGGGGCTTCAGCCTGAGCTCTGGCTTAAGGTGTAGGAACCAGGGGTTGGATCCCCACTCCTCTCTTTCTGTTTTCCTTCCAGATGCTGGTCTTCCAACTCAAAGAGCATAGTTGAGTCCTCAAAGTCAACATCTGTGGCACTCAGGGCAAAGGGGGATATCTGGACTATTTGCCCTCAGTCACCGAGAGTTCCTCTATTGGTGATGATGTTGGTGGCTCATCGTTGAGAGACACAACGATGATGGGGAAGAGGAAATCCCCCTGATGGTGTCCATCCTCCAGCCTGAAGACGACCTTGTCGCTGTAAGAGTCACTGCCGCCATGCTGGTACACCACTCGCCCTGCACTTAGGTCTGCTGGTGTGAAGTACTTACACCCCACAGGTGCCCCAAGCACCACCAGCTGTCCATGCTGCAAACCTCTGACTGCGGTTATTCTTATTTCTTCTGAATTATTTTGATCAGTGACCTGAAGACTTCGGCTGTTGGACAGGGCCCTTGCTTGGCCTTGAAAAACCAGAAGTCCTCCATTGTCGCTAGTCATAGACGCTAGAGCGTTCAGAGACTTCATCACCACCATGAAGGCAAAAGAATCAGAGGCGTTACCATCTTCACCCACCATCTGGAGTTCCAGCTGGAAGATGCGGTCCCCTTCTGAGCTCCCTGGAGGGGGTCGATGGACAATTTTCAGTTCCTGCAGCTCCTTCTGGGTGAAGGAGACTGGAAGGCCCAGGGAGTCCTCTGTGTTCATCGCATAGCCCTGCCTACTGTGGTGAACAGGTTGGGCCTCAGGGCCATTGAGAATGGTGAAGACTAGATCGTCCTCAGGATCTGATTCGCGGTCTTCTGCAGCCAGCTCATCAGGCGTCAGGACTGTTAGTCGGGACTGATCAACTTCCACCGTCATTAGAGCCGTAAAACTGGGCCTGGGCGCTGCGCTCCTGGCTACCTTCTGCATTCTTACTTGAAGCTGGAAGTACTCCTGGGCCAGCACCTCTACTGACCCAGTTCCTTGGGACTCTGGTCCTAGTAGTTCTACTACCATGGGCACATAGTCCCTGCTGGGTGAGAATAGCGTGGCGGTGTGCTGGTAGTGGCACCCCAGACCAGATGACCCCTGGAGAGAGAGGCCCCAGCAGCGTCCACCAAGTTCCCATACTTGTGGGGTGGTCCGCCAGGGTGAGGGAGCAAGGCGAGCCTGCACCTACTCCTGGAGGCAAAGTCTTGCATTCTCTGTCAATGGCATGACTGCAGCCTCGCTCCTTAAACAACTTCAAAGGCTTGTTGTTGCGTATCACCAGCTGGAGCTTGGAGAAGATCACGTTCACATTCAGCGTGAAAGGCAGTACCAGCTTTCAGCGCTGGGCTGGGGGAACGGAAGTGAGTGTACTGTGACCTGGTGGGGAGAGCGCGCCTTGGAGCCACTGAATGTTCACTCTGCCACCTCGCATTGGTCCCCTGGCCACACTTTAATATCCAAGTCACGCAGTGGGTCGAGCCAAACCTAGGGGCCCTGAGGCACCTTCAACCCAGGGTTGGCGATCAGGATGCAAGGGTTCCGGTGGTTACCACCGTGAAGTGCCCCCCCTCCCCGCCCCCCAGAGGGAGGTAGAGCTCCCAGTCGGATGCGTTCCCACTCAAGACTTGTCCCCCTCAGTGTGCAATAAGTCAGAAGCAGGCAGGCAAGAGCCACTACCAGCTGCGGAGACATCCCAGGAGAGTGCAGAGAATCCCCAGGCATGGTCCCTGACGGAATTCTGGAGTTCAGATACCGAGATAATGCACTGTCCAAGGGCTCCCTTAGCCCCAGGTGCAGGCTTGGAGGCAGTGATGCTCTGCGTGAGGGCGGGGAGGCTTGGGTCCCGCCAGCACCAGCGTCTACCCTAGTTATTTTAATACCTGCAGCCGCTCAAGGGTAGACAATTTTAACCCCGGGAATTGCCATCCATAAATCGAACTGTTGATCTTCTACAGTCTGCAGAGATTTTCCTTCAGCAGTAGTAACAACAGCAGCAGCTTCTACAGCCGTCACTACCACCACTTTTTGAAACAAGAATCCAGAAAGTGTTAATCTCGCCAAGGGCTAAGCTGAACCAACCTGTGGATTGTGACTCACTGGAGCTGAATGCTAGTCCACCTCATTAGCACCCAGACTTGTTCATATAGCAAAATTATAAGAGTCAGTAGATTTTAAATTATGCAATGCTACCCAACACATTCGGAAAAATTCTTTTAACTATGCATTTTTTTATGTTCAGACGTAGTTACAATTTCATTATGCAAGGATAAACAGTATGTTCCAAAAAGCTGCCTTGTGTGAAGGATGAGGGCTCATATTCAAACTTTTAAAATGGTTCTTGTTTTGAGACAGGCTCTCGCTGCACAGCTTGGCCTCCTCCAGCCTCAGCCTCCTGAAGGCACATGCCACTTTGTCTGGAATAATAGAACTTCATTCTTTAGCCTGCATGTATTAAATTTCACAGCTGAGCGCTCATATGTGAGTAAGTCGTGTTCTGTATAAGCATTACTCGCTCTGAGGCAGCCAACTCTCTTTCGCACACACTACTTCCACGATGCAAAAGAGGAGGTGCAGAGCTAAGATAACAGATTGTTAAACTATTATTAAATTAATGATTTTGCTCTCTGACCCTCTCTGCTCAGCATATGCCTTTCCTACCATTTTATATCTGGAAGGGTCCCCTGTTTATTGTCACCTCATTTCCTTTACCTCAGACTTGCTCACTCCTTAGGACACTGGAGCCTGGCATTAGACACATAGACCAGACTCGCCTGTGGTCATCACTAGCCTCTACAGTTGATGTTACCACAACTTTCTATTTTCCTTCCTCCCTTCCAATAACATGGGTCTGCCACGTTAGAGTCTTAAAGCTCTATACCAGCAGTAAGAGTGGTCACCACAGATGCCTAGGAATGGAGAGAAGAAGGCAACTGTGCAGTGGTAATGACCTGAAACCCAGGCACTCATCAGAAGAGGCCACTAGCTGGAAGGTGTAACTTCCTTCCTTTCCCAGAATGCACCAGCTCATTAGAGACTGCTGTCAGTTGTGTTCACACCGTGCAACTTGTTTTCTAGCCCAATCTTTGTATCATTAAACCTTTGTTTCCTCAGAACAATTTTTTATCTGTGTTGTGTCTCTGTATTTCATTACCTTAAATTTAACCTTTGAACCTGAGCTGTATTTCAAATCTATCATTATGCAGGAGAGAAACAAAATAAAATTATAAAGCATAGGCTCTGCTCATATTTTTATAAGCCCTGCATCATATGATTCTTGTCTCTAACTTATATGTAATAATGAATCCCACTTCATCCAGCAGCCACAAGAATAGAATGGATTACTGCTCGTAGAAGCTTCTTAGAATACTGCCTGGCACACAGTCAGCACTCAATAAAGGTAAGTTATTATTGTAATTACAGATAGGAAATTGAGATTTATAGGCATTAAACAGAAAACTTTTACCTTGTAAATTAATTCCACTATCACCGAAAGTGTGTCCCACAGGGAAAGAATCCTTGCACAGCCTTGGCACTCGAGCAGGACTTTCCGTCATGTGCTACTCCATTTGTAATTGGCTATGTATGCTCTGAAATACCTAGAATGAATGACATTCAATAGGACAAGGGGAGAGGACCATGTGCCCTAACGTCCTGCATGTGTTTGGCAGAACGACAAGTCATTTTCAGAAAGATCACACCCAACTTCTGGGAAAATAACAAACTGGATGAGGGGACTCAGTTTATCCAGTGAGGAATCCCCACACAGCTTCTCCTAGTTCACAGGTACCCCAGCCAAGACTAATTCTACTGACGTTTGCTAAAAGCATTTTTTTTCTCTATCATTTAAGGAAATGAAAGGTTTTAGACACTGTATTTCATTAGATGGTGTCTTCTAAGGGTGTGCAAGTGTTAGCAATATCTTATAACAGGTATGACCAACAGTTGCTGAATACATGATCAAATACTGTGTAAAGATTATGATTTAAGTCTCAGTGTATTTTAGATGATATTAAAGGACATAAAGTATCAGGATGAATGACCCAAAGTACAGCCATGCTGACTGTAGTAATACTTTATACCTCGAATCACCTGAGATGATTGATCTTAAATAGTAGCCAACAGAGCTGATAGATGCGGTTATTATTTTGTGACCACCCTTCTACATTCTTTCTGTGTATAAAAACATCACTGGTATGCCCCTTAATTCATATAATTTTGTATCAAATGTGTCGAAACTGGGGAAAATATTAATGTTTTTCTTTTTTTTTTTTTTTCTGGATCGCGTGTAGTCCAGGTTGGCCTGTCGCTTACTAGGTCGCAGAGGACGGCCTTGAATTTCTGCTCCTTCTGCCCCCACTTCCTGAACGGGATTCTGAGCATGCAGCACCACACTGGGCTGATAGGGATGAGACCCTAAGCTTCATGTATGCTAGGTAAGCACCTCTGCTACCTGAGCTACATCCTCCTTTCCCAGCAGTTCCTCTCAGTATCCAGCCTGCTAAGTCAACAGACACCTGCTGTCTCAGGGCTCTGGAAGCTTGGCTCCTGCTGGTGGCTATTAGGAAGGGAACTGCTTCGGCTTTTTCTCCCCAGCTTGCCGATGATGGTTCCCTCTCCATGTCTCTCTTTACACTGTCTTTCTTCTTTCTGCGCTATGTTTTGTCCTTCCCCAAAGATATCAGTGAAATTGGGCCAGGGTCCATTTTCCTTATTTATTCATTTATTGTATAGTCTTTTTTAATTGATTTTATTGAGCTATACATTTTTCTCTGCTCCCCTTCTACCCTCTCCTATGGTCCCCATGCTCCTCATTTACTCAGAAGATCTTGTCTTTTTCTACTTCCCATGTAGATTAGATCCATGTAAGTCTCTCTTAGGGTCGTCATTGTTGTCTAGGTTCTCTGGGATTGTGAATTGTGGGCTGCTAACACTTTTTTAATGCATCCCTGTCTGTAAGGTGTCTATCTTAAAGTAGGGGTACATTCTGAGGTAGGACTCAACATAAGGTTCACCAGGACCACATACCTCTCCTGCTGCAAATCTGGGATGCAGATGAGTTTTCTGCTTCTAAAATGTGGTGATAGAAAACAAAACAGAACAGAGCAGCCATTTCCATCCCACGGTGAGATAAAATTGAGGGCTTTTGGTTTGTTTTTGTCAACTTGACTTAAGCTAGAGTTATCAGAGAAGAGGGAGCCTCTATCTGATTTCCTGCGGCAAGTCTGTGGAACATTTTCTTCATTATCAATTGAGGTGACAAGGCCTTGCCCAAGGTAGGTGCTACTACTCTCGCGCAGGTTCATGGTCCTGGGCTATGTAAGAATTTCTGGAAAAAAAAAGAATGCCAACAGAGCAAGCCACGATGAGCAAGTCAGTGAGCAGGATCCTCCCCATGGCTTCCGAGTCACGCTCTTAGAGCTGCTGCTTTGCTTGACTTCCTACCTTGGTTTGCCTCCCAAAGAAGGGACGTTCCCAGTGAGGAGCTGGAACGTGTTAGTCAAACAGCCTTTTCTCCTCCAAACTGTTTTGGTTGATGTGTTACCCCAAGACTAGAACCTTAAATAGGGCAACAATGAGAAAAGGGACGTGTCCCAAACACATAGGAAGAGAGGCAGAAGTAGTCCAGGAATACTCCGCTGGACCCGGAGCTCAAAATAATCTCTGGATAGGTACTTGCCTCCCTGTGTACTTGCCTCTAGGCTCCTCTGAGGAGTAACTCTGCTCTCATGCTATTGGACCAGTTATATAAAGGGATGTTTTGTTCATTTCTAGTGCCAGTATGGTGTTTGATATCAATTCCATATTTTGGTGATTAGGTGGAAAATCAGCTCTAGAAGTTTCTTCATATGAGAGCAATTTGTCAATTTATTATTAGGTTCGTTCCAGAAACAATGACAAGGAAAATTATTAGTGAGGCGGCATAAAGTCATGCTTACGTTTTACATCATGGTTCATTTACATGAGGCCAAATTATTAAGCAGCTTCAAATTGACTTATTGCAGTTCCTCAGTTATAGCTATCCATATTTCATTTGATTAGAACTCAAAATGAGATGGGTTTTCCTATATAAACTGACCCTGGGATGATGGTGGGAAAAATGGCATGTCTTGTTACACGTGTAAAGAAGCTACCTACCAAGAAGTGCTCATGATGTTTGGAGTATTTATTTTTTTTTCGAGACAGGGTTTCTCTGTAGCTTTGGAACCTGTCCTGAAACTATGGAACTAGCTCTTGTAGACCAGGCTGGCCTGGAACTCACAGAAATCTGCCCTGCCTCTGCCCCCTGAGTGCTGGGATTAAAGGTGCGCCCACCACTACCTGGCTTGTTTGGAGTTTTTCTAAAGCGGTGTGAGTGAACTCAGTAGAGCAGATCTCCTTGTCCAGTGTTATCTCATTTGCGGATGGCCTACAGAGAAGAGAAACACGGAGAAGGGAGCCACCGTTTCCATCCTGTCTGCGAGTATGAGCTGGGCGTCCTGTCTTTGCTCTCCTGGCCATTCCTAGTTCATCGCGGTTCACACTCGGGCTGATTTGTGCCCCCAGCTTTCCTGGAGCTCTAGCTTGCAGGCGGCAGATGTGAGACTCTTCAGTTGGATAAACAATCTGTTATCCTGTTGGCACAACTTTTTTGGGAGAACTGTGATTAACTCTAAATGGCGAATCAATTAATTTATTTCAAGGATTTCAAATACACTTAATAATCTTAGATAAAGTTTATTAAG